GGTGGTCTGTCGTGTGTCATGGCTACAGTCATCGTGTTTGCCAGTATGCGAGTCCACTGGTGCTGGTGCAGCCGTTGTGGTACAGGGTGGGACCTGAAAGGAGGCCGGTAGACGTTGGAAGAGAAACGGGAATTTCTTGCTAAGTTGCTTGACATGAAGGTTCTTTGAACATGGAATGTGCACAGAGAGACTGCATGAAAGCACTCTTGCCTGGAACGCCCCTCTCAGGCTAGCATCCAGCTACAGCAGGACTGGACAGGTGTTGTGCATGCATTCACCCATCAGAACGGTTTCCATCATCCACTTGTTTTTGTGTTTTGAATAGAGGTGCAGAAGTTTCCAGAAGCGACACGAGGCTGATTACAGTCAAAATCGCCCTAAGCCCAATGAGCAGTCTTAACTCCTAACCTGGGCTTCCCAATGAGATGATAATATTGCAGCATTTAGCAACAGGCCCCTGATGTGCTTTGCAAAACTGAGACCTTATGAATCGCCGCAGGCCCGTGCCCAGCAAGAATGAAGGGACTGGTTTGGTATTGTTTAGTGGTTTAGTGCTACGTCTCTGCATGTGGCGGTGCAAGTGGTTTTGTTGTTTGGTGGGGTGGGGCAGGTTGGGGGAGGGCTATTCGCATTGGCATAATTCTCTTTGATTGATAGATCACGTGAGTTTTGCCGTTACCATACAGAAATACGCAGAGAGAGGGTCTGTATAGCATTCGCATTTTGAGATCTGCAAGATCAGCCGGCGACTACCCTTCGGCCCTTCGAGGACCGAAGAGCGGAGCTCCTACTGCAGCGCCATGCCGAGAAGGAGCATGCGGAGTTTGCCGACTGCACCTTCCGAGCCCTGGCAGAACTGGCCGCGAAACTAACACAACTCAAGGAAGCACCCAAGAGCCATCCCCGAGAATGCGCATGGGATCGAGGTGGGAGCGCACGACGCGAGCCGTCGCAATCGAAACTCCTAATGTCTCCTGAGGTTGGAATCCCATAGCGTTGGCACACTGATTGGGGAAGAATCACTGGCAAAAGGAAACTTGAGGATGGAGACGAAAACTCCAGTTGCAGTCGTGACGTTTCTCCCGAGCTGACCCTGCTGCATGCGATGTAAACTGTACGTAGTTTGTGTACATGACAATATGCTATTCCCCGAAGACTGCAAGTGCACCCGGCCGAGAGATGCCGAGAGCAATGCGTAAGACAAGAAGCTACCAGTACAGGTACCAAGTCACATCAATTTTCGACGACGGGCACCTGCATAATTCATGAAACCAAGCCGCGAGATTTCGAGGTCCGGAGCTCTGCCGCCCCTATGTCGACCATCAGCCGGTGGTGGTTAGCGGCCCCTTGCCCATGAGAAGATGTAGCCCTTGTGCGAGAGTATGTGAGCGTGTGAGTTCTCTGATTCAGGATCGGCACTTTGTGATCTATCCTATCCAGGGTTATTCGGCCAATAGACATTGCAGCGCACATCGACACAGCGATTTAGAATTTTGCAAGCTGCATCATTGTCCTGTTCTGGACCTGTCCAAAACGAACCCCCCCCGGGGGGTTGTACCCTTTTCCTGAGAGATTTGTCTGGGAGTGGTTTGACGAAAAGCGCGTGCTGCGACTTGTTGTTGGGGACCTGCCCAACTTCTTCTCCGAGCATGTCTTGCAAGGGTTGGTGGGGGGGAGGAGGGGTCGCGCGAGGGGGGCGCGGGGGAGGGGGCTCGGGGAGGCTTGAATCAAGTGATTTGTGCGGGTCCCTTGCCGGCTGTGGCAGGAAGCACGGCATCAGCATGAATCAAACACGGTGGTATGCGAGAGAAAGATGCAGATGTCATTGCAATTGTTGATTTGGGGTCAGGGGCAGTTTTTAGCCATGCGTTGACTGTAGCTCCGGGAGCGCAGGCTGCTTGCACTAGGCTACTAGGCAGGCTGCAAGCTTGAAAAAATAGATGTTGCGAGTGAAGATGCCAAGAACCAGGAGTGCGGCTGAACTCACACTGCAAAATCGATATGGAGAACTGATCAGAAAAGAAGTGCCTTGGGCCTCGAATCGACAAGCCACGCTAGATTCGGCAATGACTGTTTGTGGGTGTGTGGGTGGGTGTGTGTCACTTTGGGGAAGGTTACGGAGGATCCTTCACATGGCCTGTCTGAGTGTGCGAGAAGCCGCAAGATTTTCAGGTCTCAGCCGCTACTTTGAGCTCCGTGGCCTTGCATCCAGGGCGGCAAGTTGGTTGGCTCTTCAGATGTACGGGTGTTCGGGGCCTTTGCTGGGCGTCTCAGCGCCTGGGCTTCAGGGAAGCGTTTCATGGTAAGATGTATAGGGCGCAGAAAGGATAGGAACCGATCCAACAGGATGAGTGACGAGAAAGAGCTGGTTTGAAAGGACTGCCTCAGCTTGGTCAGCCCGTGCAAGGCTTGGTTTTCCAGCTAACGGCTGCTCACCTAGAACAGTTGCTGCGTGGCCAATCCGGCAAATCCTGAATCAGCACTCCATCCAATCCCACCCAACTGAACCCGAAAGTGTTCCATACCCACGCCAATGCAAGTGTCAGACGATCCTCAACCCTAAAGACTTGCTCAATACTTCTTCAGGCACAAAGGCAGCAAGAGGCACAAAGAGAACGCGAGGCTCCTTGCAATTGAAGGTTGCACATTTGGAGCCGGATCAGAGTTTCTCATCGATCGTACTGGGCTTCCGGTTGGTCAGTATGTGTGCCTTTGGCCACTTGCAAAAGGTAAGCTTGGGCCCTCTGGCAGCGTGATCAAACAGTGCTTCAGTGCAATCAATGCTACGCACACTGCAAGCATCTTCTGAGTGCGGTGTGGAGAGACTTCAGACGCTTCGGGTTGAGAGGTCAGTAGGGCCGCGTGTAACAGAACCTAAACAGATGCCTAAAAGGAGCCCACATAAAGTAAGACTTAAGAGTTGGCCACAAATTCGAAGTGTGCAATTTGTTGTCCAAGCACGGGGTTTTGCTGCTGGAAGTCTCAGGCCAAAGTCTTCCGGGCAGCAGGGGTTCCTGCCAATGGGATCACCATTCCAGCACCCTGGCTGCAGCCGAATGGGTCGTCCCAGCAGAGTTGAGAACCATGGTGCCCCCAGTTGCCCTCCAGTATTGTCGCGCTGTGACAGCTGATGTCACAGGAGCCTTTCTCGCTATCTTCGGGCAACGGCTTCCGCCACTCGCAGGGCAGCGTGCGCTCAGACTCCGCGCGGGGACTCTGAGGCTGTCACGATATTTGGCGGGCCAGAGGGAACGCGCCTGCAGGGAGGAGAGGAAGGGGTAGGGTGTATACTGTCTGTCTTGAGCTGGAATTATATGGATCATTCTCGTTGTTCGCAGGGCTACCCTGAATGCCGTGCCGAAGTTCCTGAGCCAATGACCTTTTATTTGCGTGGGGTTGCGCAGATCTTCTGCCCATCAGCCTCCAAAGATGTTGAATAGGACATCGCAGGCAGAGATCTTGCAACCTGTCAGCCTATCAGTTCGCAGACCGCTCGGGCGCTGCATTGTAAAGTTTCATCGCTGCGTCAAGGCAGCTATGAAGAGGTCGAGCTTCAACAGTTACATGTGTGCATCCGCATATCTTCTGTCATTTGAAGCATATCGAAGCAAGTTCTTCAAAGAGCTGCTTGTTTCCTTGGCATGTAGTCGTACGACAGTAGTTCTGATCAAAGCAGCGGCGGTTTACGACTGCAGAGCCCTGAGGTGCTAGGCAAGGCAGGGAAGTGTTCTGGCATGATTGCGCGGAGAACGCCCCCAACAGATGCGACCGGTCGCTCATCACTTTACGACCTTGAAGTTGGATTCTTTGTGCCAGGGCACTGCCTACAGCAACTTGCGGTATCTTAAGCAGCGGGCTGGCGTGAAGATTCTTCTTGATTATAGCCGGAAGGTGTCAAGGCCCGAGATGAAGCGGCCGTTCAGGCCTAGGTGCTGATGGAGCATTATAGGAACCGACGCACAAGCGCGCAGCCCTTACTTCACGAAGCCTCCGGAGTTCCATTGTGGGTATCTGGCTTTCATGTGGATTTTCCAAGACTTGTGAACTCAACAGGGATTTCTTGCCCACGCCTGGCGCACCAGCCCAGAACTCCAAGTGCGCCAAGTGCAGAAGACCTGCGCTAGTAAGCCAAATCGCCATTTCTCTTCTTCTGAAAGCACAGCGCCTGTTGCAGGATGTTAGTCGCTTATCATGGTGTTATCAAGGATGGCACGTGAAGAGCACAGGGTGTCTGCAAATTCGCGCCCAAACATCACGGCGCAACCTGTTGCAGTGCCCCATCGCCTCGGAGAAATGCGAAGAGTGAGTTTTGGTTTCGCCGGTAAGTGTTGCCCTTTCAGCATGCATCAGTGTGCGGGGCATGCTGTTGCTTATGCCGCCGCAATTTGAGCCACAAGCCACGGAGGGTTCTTGCGCTGCGCCGGGCCGAGCCAGGCGCAAAGATCTCTCACTGAAAGACGCTGGGATCTGTGTCAGCATGTGAACAGGTGGACTGGTTTCAGCTGGAGATTAGCTTTGTCTGCAGCATGATGAGGCTCTGTGAATCGTGGCGCTTGTACTAACAGATCTGCTGGCAAGATAACAATGAGCCTGTGGAGGAACAACCTCCAGAATGGTTATCAAATTCCGTAGTGTGCGTTTTGGGGGGTTGGAATGGTGGAGTGCTCGTGCACTCAACGACCGTATCAAGAGCTTGGAAGCACTGTCTTTCGTCAGAAAGACGGACTCCACGGGAAAAATCTTCGGAAGGAGCCCAAAGCCTGGCTGAATCGGGACGATGGTGCACAAATTTTTCCGCGGCAAATGTGCAGAGAGCATGACCCAAGCCTTTTCAGAATGGAGACGACTGCGCACCGATATTCCTTAGACCCCTCAAGAGGATCCTGAATCGGTCACCGAATCATCCATTGGAAGCAGCACAGAACCCTGCTCTGAGACCCCCAAAGCCTCCGCAATACTCAGATGATGGCCGAGTATAGCAGCTGCGGCCAATGTCCAGGATGGGTCCACCTGCGGCACCCCATCGCCTGCCACCCCCGCCAGCCTACTGCCATGAAATGGCTGCCCGAAGCCTGGAATTGGTGGAGACTGGAGTTCGAAGGGATGTTGGTGTGTAGGTTGGTTGGCTTTTGGGCATGAGAGTTTCGGCCCCGAAGAGCTCTTCATCTGAAAGGCTCGATAGTGTGAGTAACGCACCTTCTAAAACCCCAATTTAGGGGGAGTTGTTCTGATGGCGCTGGGGGAAGCCTCGAAGGTTCAGGCGAGGGCCGAAGTGCGATGGGTGTTTAGCAAGGGCATTTTGGACTTGCTGTTTCCTCGCCACCAGTGTGGTGTTTTTAGCACTGGCACGTAGTACACCCTACGCCTGTAGACGTCAGGTTGCACCACGCAGTGAACTGGCATCGTGGAAATCTTGCAAGTTTCAGATGTTCCTCGTGAGCTGGTCATGTCGTCTATGAAGTTGCATTTGCGCTGAAACAATCCAGAGAAATCATCTAGACTGAATCTAGACTCGAAACGGCCGAAACGTTGAACTCAAAGCTGTCAAAGTCAAAAAAAATTGCGAATAACCAGCGGCAAGCTTCCTCAGCACAAGACCCTATCTCCAGCCCTACTGCAAACCTACACCAACCTCTTGCTCGCTTTATCGCACTCCCGATGGCTCGGTATCAGCCTGTTTGAGCGAGGCTTGCGAAGCAAGTTGCTCAGCTGAGGCCAAGAACCTCCTCGACCGTGGGCTGCCCTTCTCTGATGTCTTCGCCTGAGGACATGTGGCACATGATTCCATCTGCCCATTTCTGCAAAGGTTGCCTGCATGTTGGATTTGCACCTCTCGGAATACCCTGGCCCCTATTTGAACCAGCTTCACCACAACACCCTGCAGCAGCACCATGCTGTTGTGATTCAAGTTGTGATCGTTTGAAGCACTTTGTACCACTCAGTGTCCACCATAAGTCAACTGTTACGTAGCATGGCGGCCGCTTTTGGTCGATGAGGGCTGTCTTGCTCCCACACAGGTGCTGGAAGTTGCGCTGACACCGCGGACGCCGCGAGCAACTACTCCTCGTGGACCAGGTGGCCGACCTTCCTCTTAAGCTTCGGTGTTTGGAGTACACATTGGTGTGCACATGTAGCAAGAGATTGTTAACCAAGTGGGAAAAGAGTTTCAAGGAACGGTGTCGGGAGTCTGGCTTCCCTTCAGTCCAGTGGCAGAAGAGGAACGATGTCGGGTTCCAGTGTTGGTTCAGACTTGTCGGCGTATCATCCAGTGCAGCGGTGGCATGCTCTCACTACGACACTAGGCCGACTCGCCGGTTGAGCTCCGTATTGTGGGGCTTCAATGTTGGCCGCTCTCTCCCTCTCACTTAGAAGTGGGTTTTGCTGGAGATACTGCATCTTCTGACACTTGTGGTGCGGGGCAGGCTCGAAACCATCCACACCTCGGCCAGTGATTCGTGGCTCACGCGCGCAGATGGCATCCTACAAGGACAGCACGGTTCTTCTACGTTCTTCTACAGCAGACTTCGATCATCAATGGTACCAGTGTTTAGCTGGCCCATGTCGTTCTATATATATATTTTAAGGGGCTGCGCCCATGGGCGGGCAGCGCACGCAGAAGCCTGGGGCGAGCAGTTTCTAAGCATGTTGAGGCCCCTAAACTCCCTAAAAATCTCTAAGCGTTAAGTTTCTAAGCATTTTCAGGCCCCTAAACTCCCTTCAAATCTCTAAGCGTTTGAGGCTCCTAGACTCCCTTAACGTTTCGCACGCACCCTGCCCCGCCGCCCGTGCTTGTCATGGGCCCCTTGCTCCTGGCGTCATGGCTCCACCCCCACCCCCAACCCCCACCCCCACACACCCCACCCTTTCCACACTTCCAACCCCCGCCCCCACCCCCCACGCACCCCGCCCCGCCACTGGACCCATGGCTCCTGGCCCCAATTGGCTCCTGGTCCCATTCTTCATCCCTCGACCTGCATGGCTGCCAATGCTCCACCCCAACCCCCAACCCGCACCCCCATACCGTACGCACCCCCACCCCCCACACATCCTGCCCCCCACTGAACCCAATGGCTCCTGGCCCCATTGGCTCATGGTCCACGGCCCATGGATGTGGCTTCTCAGCTGACTTTAAAGGGCCTCCGCCCGCTCCGCCCGCTCCGCCCTCCGGGGTTGCGGGTGGGGGTAAGGTGAAGAATGGGACCAGGAGCCATGAAGCATGGCGGGGTGCGTGGGGGGCTTGGGCAAGGGGAATGTATGCGGAGCGGGAAGGGCGGATGGGCGGGGAGCGGGTGCGTGTGGTGGGGGTAGGGGCGGAGTGATGGGGCCAGGAGCCATGGGTCCAGTGGGGGGCGGGGTGGGGGTGGGGGCGGTGGGGGTGGGGGTGGGGGTTGGGGGTGGGGGTGGAGCCATGGGGCTGACGGGTGCGTGCGGGGGTGGGGGGGGCCAGAGGAGGGTGGGGGTAAGGGGCGGAGAAGCCACCTGCTTGGGCCGTGCACCATAATGAATGGGGAGCCATGGGGCCAGGAGCCATGGGTCCATGAGGGGTAGGGAGCTGGGTCCATGAGGGGTAGGTCAAGGGGGTCAAGGATGGGCCAGAGGGGAGTAGGCGGAGCTGGAAGGGCGGAGGGGGCGGAGCGGGCGGAGCGGGCGGAGGGCCCGGGCATGCACTGGGGCCCTTTAAAAGCCAGCTGAGAAGCCACATCCAGACCATGAGCCAATGGGGCCAGGAGCCATGGGTCCATTGGGGGGCGGGATGCGTGGGGGGTGGGGGTGGGGGTTGGAAGTGTGGGTGGGTGGGGGTGGGGGTTGGGGGTTGGGGGTGGAGCATGGGGCCAGGAGCCATGGGTCCATGACAAGCGTGGGCGGCGGGGCAGGGTGCGTGCGGGGTGGGGGGGGTTGGGGGTGAGGGGCCATTTTTCGGACCAGCATTGGCAGCCATGAGGATGAAGAATGGGACCAGGAGCCATGGGTCCATGAGAAGCATGGCGGGGTGCGTGGGGGGCTAGTATGCGGAGCGGGAAGGGTAGAGGTGGTGGGGGTAGGGGCGGAGAAGCCACCTGCTGGGTCCATGAGAGGGGGGATGGAGAGTGGGAGCATGGGCCAGAGGGGTGCAGGCGGAGCTGGAAGGGCGGAGCGGGCGGAGCGGGAGCGGGCGGAGGGCCCGGCATGCACTGGGGCCCTTTAAAGTCAGCTGAGAAGCCACATCCATGGGCCGTGGACCATGAGCCAATGGGGCCAGGAGCCATGGGTTCAGTGGGGGCGGGATGCGTGGGGGGTGGGGGTGGGGGTTGGAAGTGTGGGTGGGTGGGGGTGCGGGGTTGGGGGTGGCAGGGTGCGTACGGTATGGGGGTGGGGGTTGGGGGTGGGGGTGGAGCCATGGGGCCAGGAGCCATGGGTCCATGACAAGCGTGGGCGGCGGGGCAGGGTGCGTGTGGTTGGGGGTGAGGGGCCATTTTTCCCAGCATTGGCAGCCATGCAGGCCGAGGGATGAAGAATGGGACCAGGAGCCATGGGTCCATGAGAAGCATGGCGGGGTGCGTGGGGGGCTTGGGCAAGGGAGGGAGTATGCGGAGCGGGAAGGGTAGAGGTGGTGGGGGGCAGGGGCGGAGAAGCCGCCTGCTTGGGCCAGCGGACCATAATGAATGGGAGCCATGGGGCCAGGAGCCATGGGTCCATGAGGGGCATGGGGCATGGGTGCGTGAGGGGTAAGGGGTAGGGAGCTGTCCATGAGGGGTAGGTCAAGGGGATGGAGGGCCAGAGGGGAGTAGGCGGAGTGGCGGAGGGCCCGGGCATGCACTGGGGCCCTTTAAAGTCAGCTGAGAAGCCACATCCATGGGCCGTGGACCATGAGCCAATGGGGCCAGGAGGGTGGGGGTGGCAGGGTGCGTACAGGATGGGGGTGGGGGTTGGGGTTGGGGCCTCAGGATTTGATCGCCAAAACGGAACAACATCGCCGAAATCGATCTCGAATGTCATCCGCTGATCGTGATTTTCGTCGTTCGACCTCGAATCGCGGTTTTCGAAATTCTGCGAGAGTGTGTGTTGAGCCCGAAAGCCCTGAATTGCTGGACATTTCATGCCTTGATGAGGTGAGTGACTGCAAGGGACATGTGAGTCATGAGCATCCTGACCTGGACCAAGGAGAGACTAAGGAGAAACTAAGGGCCGTTGATGAGCTTTTGAGCGCCGCGCCTAGTTCCTTTGAGTCTTTCGGTCATGCGGACATGCCAGTTTTCCATGAGCTTGACAGTCATACATGTTTGTTTTCTTGTGCAGACGACAGCATCATCTCACACGGGGAGCAGAACAGCAACACCACACCAGCAGTCGAGAGGCTTGTGCATGAGTTGGACAATCGTGCGTGCTTGTTTTCTTGTGCAGACCACAACATCACCACACATGGGGAGCAAAGCAACACCACACCAACAGTCGAGTGGCTTGTGCATGCGTGTGACAGTAGCACCACAGCAGTAAACATTCCCGTGTCGTGTCTTGATCGTGATCTGCAAGAACAATATCCCAAGTATCCACCCGAAAGCCTTGAATGCCCAAAGCACCAGGAGCCACCGTCTTTTGTGGTAGACGCCTTAGCGAACCATGGAAGAGGAGCCAATGGAGGTGGAGCCAGCCATGAGCGAGACAATGGTCCGCTCTATCAGCGAGCTGGAGGGTATGCGAGAAGGAGCGCGAGCGCGCAGGATGCTGCTCGTGGACGAGCACCGGGTGGACCGGATCACCGAGGAAGAGGAACGACTCGGTCCCCTACAAGACGAGGAGACTTCTCCGGTAGAGGAGACTTCTCCGGTAGAGGAGACTTCTCCGGTCACGATCTATGTTCCATCACCCCCGCCATCCGAAGAGGAAGCGGCGGAAGGAGCCGAAGATGTGGAAATGGTGGAGCAGCCATCATCCCATCGAGCCAGAGAGCCCACGATGGTGGAGAGGCCGTCTTCCCACAAGGCCGCAGCGCCCATACTGATGCGGCCAACTCCCAAGACGCTGAGGAAGAAAGAGGCCCCGCAGAGGGAGGAGAAAGCCCTGGAGGCAAAGTCCGACAGCTACGAGATGATGGGCAACGACCCAGAAGCCTGGCGCGCTTCATGGAAGCAAGAGCAGCCAGGGACGCTGCATTGAAGGCCAAGAAGGAGCACCCCGAGCCGAAGGTGGACTCCAAGAAGAAGAAGAAGAAGCCGGCAAAGGAGCGGAAGCCTGTGGAGGAGCGGCCCGTCGTTCGGGAACCGAGTGGGCCACCTCCGGACTACCTCACCGGACCGACCCGGAAGGGCAAGCGTCGCTTCGCGAGCTCAGGCTGGTTGACTTGGATATGTCGCCGCTTCGAAGGGTCATGGCAGGCAGGGGCCACAAATAGGACCAGCATTGGCAGCCATGCAGGTCGAGGGATGAAGAATGGGACCACGAGCCAATGGGGCCAGGAGCCATGGGTCCAGTGGGGGGGCGGGGTGCGTGGGGGGTGGGGGTGGGGGTTGGAAGTGTGGAAAGGGTGGGGTGTGTGGGGGTGGTTTGGGCACTGGGGGACCCTTTAAAGTCAGCTGAGAAGCCACATCCATGGCCGTGGACCATGAGCCAATGGGCCAGGAGCCATGGTTCAGTGGGCCGGGGGGGGGTGGGGGTTGGAAGTGTGGGTGGGTGGGGTTGGGGGTTGGGGGTGGCAGGGTGCGTACGGGGTGGAGCAGGGGCCATATATAGGACCAGCATTGGCAGCCATGCAGATCGAGGGATGAAGAATGGGACCAGGAGGTAATGGGGCCAGGAGCCATGGGTCCAGTGGGGGGGCGGGGTGCGTGGGGGGTGGGGGTTGGAAGTGTGGAAAGGGTGGGGTGTGTGGGGGTTGGGGGTGGGGGTGGAGCCATGACGCCAGGAGCAAGGGGCCCATGACAAGCACGGGCGGCGGGGCAGGGTGCGTGCGGGGTGGGGGTGGGGGTTGCGGGTGGGGGTAAGGGATCCATGAAAAGCATGGCGGGGTGCGTGGGGGGCTTGGGCAAGGGGAATGCATGCGGAGCGGGAAGGGCGGATGGGCGGGGAGCGGGTGCGTGGGTGGTGGGGGTAGGGGCGGAGGGGAGCCATGGGGCCAGGAGCCATGGGTTCATGAGGGGCATGGGTGGCAGGGCAGGGTGCGTGAGGGGTAAGGGGTAGGGAGCTGGGTCCATGAGGGGTAGGTCAAAAGGATGGAGAGTGGGAGCATGGAGTAGGCGGAGCTGGAAGGGCGGAGGGCGCGGCCTTTAAAGTCAGCTGAGAAGCCACATCCATGGGCCGTGGACCATGAGCCAATGGGGCCAGGAGCCATGGGTCCAGTGGGGGGCGGGGTGCGTGGGGGGGGTGGGGGTGGGGGTTGGAAGTGTGGGTGCGTGGGGGGTGGGGGTTAGGGGTTGGGGGTGGCAGGGTGCGTGCGGGGTGGGGGTGGGGGTTGGGGGTGGGGGTGGAGCAGGGGCCATTTTTTTGACAGCCATGCAGGTCGAGGGATGAAGAATGGGACCAGGAGCCATGGGTCCATGAGAAGCATGGCGGGGTGCGTGGGGGGCTTGGGCAGGAAGGGAGTATGCTAGGACCAGCATTGGCAGCCATGCAGGAAGGGAGTATGCTAGGACCAGCATTGGCAGCCATGCAGGTCGAGGGATAAAGAATGGGACCAGGAGCCATGGGTCCATGAGAAGCATGGCGGGGTGCGTGGGGGGCTTGGGCAAGGGGAGAGCGGGAAGGGCGGATGGGCGGGGAACGGTGGTGCGTGGGTGGTGGGGGTAAAGCAAGCGGGCCAAGCGGGGGAGGTCGAGGGGATGGAGAGTGGGAGCATGGGCCAAGGGGGGAGTAGGCGGAGCTGGAAGGGCGGAGGGCGGAGCGGGCAGCGGGCGGAGGGGGCGGGCATGGACTGGGGCCCTTTAAAGTCATCCATGGGCCGTGGACCATGAGCCAAGGGGGCCAGGAGCCATGGGTCCAGTGGGGGGCGGGGTGCGTGGGGGCGGTTGGGGGTGGGGGTGGGGGTGGGGGTTGGGGGTGGGGGTGGAGCCAGCTGGAAGTGTGGAAAGGGGTTGGGGGTGGGGAGGGTGGAGCCATGGGGCCAGGAGCCATGGGTCCATGACAAGCATGGGCGGCGGGGCAGGGTGCGTGCGGGGTGGGGGTGGGGGTTGGGGGGGTGGAGCAGGGGCCATAAATAGGAGGGATGAAGAATGGGACCAGGAGCCATGGGTCCACGAGAAGATTGGCGGGGTGCGTGGGGGGCTTGGGCAAGGGGCGTGGGTGGTGGGGGTAGGGCAAGCGGGCGGGCATGCACTGGGGGCCGGTCGAGCTTGGGATGAAGAATGGGACCAGGAGCCATGGGTCCATGAGAAGCATGGCGGGGTGCGTGGGGGGCTTGGGCAAGGGAAGGAGTATGCGGAGCGGGAAGGGCGGATGGGCGGGGGGCGGGGTGCGTGGGTGGTGGGGGTAGGGCAAGCGGGCGGGCATGCACTGGGAGGAGCCATGGGTCCATGAGAAGCATGGCGGGGTGCGTGGGGGGCTTGGGCAAGCATGGCGGGGTGCGTGGGGGGCTTGGGCAAGGGAAGGAGTATGCGGAGCGGGAAGGGCGGATGGGCGGGGTGCGTGGGTGGTGGGGGTAGGGCAAGCGGGCGGGCATGCACTGGGGGGAGCCATGGGTCCATGAGAAGCATGGCGGGTGCGTGGGGGCTTGGGCAAGCATGGCGGGGTGCGTGGGGGGCTTGGGCATATGCGGAGCGGGAAGGGCGGATGGGCGGGGGGCGGGGTGCGTGGGTGGTGGGGGTAGGGCAAGCGGGCGGGCATGCACTGGGAGGAGCCATGGGTCCATGAGAAGCATGGCGGGGTGCGTGGGGGGCTTGGGCAAGGGAAGGAGCGGGGGGCGGGGTGCGTGGGTGGTGGGGGTAGGGCAAGCGGGCGGGCATGCACTGGGGGCCGGTCGAGTTTGGATGGGGTGGAGTAGGTGGTAGGGGCAATGGGTCTTCACTGACGCCGCCCCCGCTCCCGCTGGGGTCGGCGGATATATATACATGCACACAGGTTTTTCTAGTATACCAGAGCAATGCTGAAAAAGATCGGTGTTCTGACAAGCTGGAGCTGGATGTGACACCTGAATCATGTGAGTGAAATTACATCATGATCAGCTGAAGCCGAATCCTTGGATCCTCCCGAACCGGAGCTTAAGAGTCTTGCAAAGCGCAGAGCAGAGGACCTCACGCCGTGGGAAGAGAAGGCGATTGTGCCTTGGCAAGGAGAGCGCACTCGTTAACGGAAGAATCTGAAGAATCATATCGCTGATTTTGAGATTTCAGGTTCCGAGCTGGAGCTCCGCCCTGACACTGGATTCACTAGGAGTATGCGCCAAGCTTGAGGTCGCAGCATTTCAGAAGTTCGACAAGCACAAGAGTGGCAAGGCCTGTAGCCTGTTGCCGTAGAGCCTGCCAACATGGTAGCCTAAGCAGTGTCCACAATTGTGCTCGGTGCCATTGCAGGCTAGCCCATGTACACTTTGGCCCCTGGCCCTGAAAACATCCTTGACTCCCTGCAGTGTTGCGCAGCAAGCTACGGTTGCCAATTCCAAAGCCACCTTTACCCTTTGAAGTGTTCTGATCGACACCCGGCCTCGTTCATTCCCAGCATGCGCCAAACTGAGCTGCTGGCCAGTTGGAAGTCCACTCCTTCTTCCAGCTTTGCCAAAGCTTGGTACGCATGCTCAGCTGGTTCAAGCATGTTTTCAAGGGTGTGGAATTGGTTTCGCAATTTTGTTCAAGGATTCAGCGTGTCAGCGTGGGAGGCTGCCTGCCCGGTGTCTCTGTGCCAACAGTTTCGTAGCTGAAGAGGGCTTGTGTGTCGGGATGTTGCTTGTTTCGAAAGTTTGATTGGACCCAAGCCTCGCGGATGTTGTCATGTTTGCGGCATATGCCACAAGCAAAATAAAGAGAGAGAGAGAGAGAGAGAGAGAGAGAATGTTCAGGGCAATCGGTGCGATCGCACGGCGCGCCTGCTGTGGGCCATGGGTTTTTCCTCGAGGCTTGCTTGCATTCTGGACGACAATCAGGCTCTCGCCGAGGCGCGGGCGTGGCCGTCATGAAAATACTCTCGTTTTTGGACTTCTGGTCTCGCGAAATGCGAGACTGTCGTCGCTCTTGGACTTTTCCGGCTTGCATGCGCACGAAACCCGGCTCTGAATTCTGGACGCCTGTCGGCTGCACGTCTCAGCCGACCGATTCTTAGGCCGGATGCAATTTACATCATCTCATAGTGGTATTCTCCGTTTTTCGTGTGTGGAACGTTGCCGTGCTCTTGGAACGTAGTCCTGGAAGTATTCTGAATGAGCTGTTGGTTTGCTCTGGGACTTCTCTTGAGCCTGTTCTGCGAGTGCCAATGGAAAGTTACCTGTGGGATGCTTGAACAGTGGTCTTGGGTTATTTTGAACATACTCTTGGACCATTGATTATTGGAGTGCCCTTTCGTATCCCCATTTTCTGTCACGAGACTTCCGCAAAATGTTGCGAGTCCATATTTCCAGCTATGCATGGTCTTTAATCTTGCAATCCGCAAAGCTTGGCGAAGCCTGGCGGTATTGCTCACGCTGCTACAAAGCTAATCCGACCGATGGTGCCCTTGGAGTTCCCTGCCATCCTACGAAGACTTTCGAAGGAAAAACACGGCATGCTCAAGCATGGAATGGACCTCGGAATTTCCAGCAGCCACCCCGCGCCACCAGATGAACAGAGACACTTGAGGCACCAGCTCGAATGCTAAGCCTTTGCGTTTATCCAGCCTCCTGAGGATCTTCATCTCAACTCGCGGCTGGCACAGGAATGGTTGGGGCCTTGATTTCGCGCTGACTTCCTTAGGTTCGAAATTCAAGGTTTGGACTGTGGCTGAAGCCACGCCTCAGCGCGAATGCCAGGCATTCGGTTGACACGTGTTGACGCTGGAAGCTTTAAGGCACTTTAAGGCTTGAGCTCTGGAGTGTGCTTAATCTAGCCTCACGCTTCCTAGAAGTATGAATCTCAAAAGCCGACCCATGCCGTCGAGGTTGGGCAGCTTGAACCAGGTCGTGCTGGGCTGCTTTAGCGGACCCCCTGTCAACTCTCAAGTGTTATGTGCTACCCCTGCCAGAATCTAAGAAATCGCTGATTCCATTTACAAAAATTGTTGATGTCCAGGCCAAAGTTGCTGAACCGGCTGGGAATCACCACACTTCCCCGCATGTTCTTCTGAGTCTTTGCCAGGTGGACGGGTTGGGCTTAGACCAAGTCAAAAACATTTGTGCCCGGATTCTGGCCGCCGGAAGCTCATCCTCCAATGGGTGATCCACTTGTGTTTACGGTGCTTCCAATCTCAAAGTCCAGGGTTTGGAGCAGCGAAGCATCAGGAATGATTGTCCATGAGAGCCTGGAATGGGGTGCCGGTGCAATGTAGCCGCTTTCCGTATTTAGTCCTTCCCATTCCTGTCCTTGGCATGCAGGTACATCTCGAACCTAGAACGAGCCTTGGCCCCTTGAACCTACAGGGCCAATCACAACCAAGGCCCAGACACCCGCCGTCCGCGCATGTGCTGCTGGCAAAGCCCTAGCCCTGAAGCGCCCTCAGATGTGCTCACTGAGGTTTAGAGTTCGCATCCAAGATCATCCAAGGGTTTGCAAACGATTAATATTTGGACCTGCCAAGTTGCTCGAGGCCCTGTGCTGACAGGCCAGCATCTCTTTCGTACAGACATCCCAAAGCTTCACTGAAGCGGCACACGCAGGGCCTGCTTGGGTTCCGATAGCACTCGCATGGCATTTTCAAGCTCTGGTGTTTTTTTTGGAAGTGTGCAAGGCCTGACCTGCAAGCCAGCGAGGAGTACATGCGAAGTGCCTTCAGAAGGCACGCCTTGGAATATCTAGCGTTGGAAGCGTAAGTACGCCTGAACGGAGCCATCATGCCATGCCGAATCCTTATAGGCTCGTAGGACGTCGTATCGATCTCCTTAAAGTGTAGGCCCCAAGACTCTTCTTCACCCCCTCGAACATGAGAACACGGGAAGAAGCCGGACTGAAGGCCTGGTGTCAAAGCGAACTGAGCGGCTTTGGAGCACTTGGGGCAGCGCATGTGTTGAGTAATGTTGAGTAGCTGCCGCAGGTTTGCTCCGAAGGGCGTCGTCGGGCCGGAAGGTTTGCGGCAGCTGCTGAAGTGCCTGGACAGCATGTCCTCGTGCACGCACCCTGGCCGAGCACGCTTGCAAAAGCATTCTCGGGCGAAGGGCTACCCAAACTGGTAAAAGCCTGCTTTTGAATCGAGAGCCGGAGGCTCGTGGAATTGCTGTTCTTGCCTTGCATCGGATGAATCAGTTTAAACAATTTAAGCGCCAGAAGTTGCACCCGAACATCTTTGGATTGACACTCTGGACACTCAGGGCTCTGGACTTTCCTGACGTTCACTGCGACTCTTTCGACCGATACGTCCGAGCCCGATTTGCACAGTTGCTTTCAACCACTTCAAGCCTTGAAGCATCTTGAAGCCAGAGGTAAGCGAGTGGCTTCTGATTGCTGGCAAGTTAGAAGAGGAGGTCGGGAACTTGCCTTGCGTGTCAGGTTGTTCGCATTGCAGAATGCTGACTCAGCCACTTCCAGCACCCGCTTGCAGTGAGAACCCAAGAAGCAGTGGTAGCTAGGTGGCGAATCCCGAGTCAATAACCAGAGAGTTTCTCGTTGAAGTCAGGGTCTGAAGCGGCAACTGGTTCGCAAGCATGAGGGTTCGCGAAGGAATGCGGGCATGAAAGGAGATTCGGGAAGAACAATCTCCAAAGCATCTACCGGAAGTTTCGTGGCATGTCTTCAGCCTTTACCGTGCCAGCCCACCATCAACGTGCATGACTTCATTGCCTGCGTGAACTTGCCCGGCCCTCACTCTCGTTCGCATTTTGGTTGAAAATTGTGCTCTCCGCGTATGTTGCGGCAAGCTGTCGGGGATTCACAATAAGGAGGTTCGCTTCTGGAAAGAACGAACGGGTTCATCTTGGAATGTGGAAAAGTTTCTCTCATTTTGGATAGCGGAAAGCTGCCATTTTGATTTCGGAGGCGGAGTAGTTTTTAAACTGATGCTGGACCGTTGTTATTGTCATGCGGTTGTTTCATAGGTGTTTTTCTCCGAAGTGGTTTGACCAGAAGGTGGTTTTCCAACGCTGCAAGAAAAATCGGTGCTTTTTCTAAAGCCGGCGGTTTTTTTCCAAGGCATGGGCTCGAAAAGCCGATGGTTTTTTTTTGTTTTGGGGTGGTTTTTCGAATCGCTGTTACAATACAGGCGGCCGGTTGTCGAAGGTGGCGTGCTAGAAAGCCAGTGCTTTTCAAAGCCAGCCGCCAGAAAAACCGGCGTGAAAGGCGTCTGCTAGCAAACAGTTTTACACTGAGACCGCTCGAAAAAGCGGTGTCTTTTCGACGGCGGCTGACGACACCGACACGATGTGGTTTGGTTCTCGAAGATCGAAAAACAGTGGTGTTTCTAATGCGTTTGTTCGGAGTTGGCTTGAACAACCGCTGTTTTTTGAGGAGAACTGGCGAAAAAACCCAAGGCAGCAGCTAGAAGAACCGCTGTTGCTTCTTTCTCTCTCTTACCGTCTGGGGTCTTGCTGGCGTCGTGTCGCAGGTGATGAGACATCGCAGGTGCGGGAGAAGGACATAACAAGACTGTATTCAACGCTCGGTGAACACTACGGTGACGCGTTTGAAACATGCGGATTTTTAAATATCTAAGCAGTTATTTTATGCTACCTCCGTTGGGGCTTCGAGCCCCTCCACCCCTCCTCCGCCCCTCCACGCGCACCCACCCCTCCAGCCCTCCACCCCTCCATGGGAGGGTGGTGGAGGGTGGTGGAGGGTGGTGGAGGGTGGTGCAGGGTGGTGGAGGGTGGTGGTGAGGGTGGTGGACGGCGGTGGAGGGCGGTGGAGGGTGGTGGAGGGTGGTGGAGGGTGGTGGAGGGTGGTGGAGGGGTGGAGGAGGGGTGGAGGGGGGGGGGGAGGGGGGGTCTGGGTGGAGGGGTGGAGGGGTGGAGGGAACTGTTTTTTAAATACACGATTTAAACAGCACTGGCCGCCCTCCACTTATTTAAAAAACTACACCGTGCAATTTGCACTACATTCAACACTTTCCTGGTTTTCTGATGAAAAGCCAGAGAATACCAAATAACTAGCTTTCTCAATCAGAAAACCAGGACGTGCTAGCCCTGCTAGTAGTGTTAACTGCGGCGTTAATTGTAGCGTTAGGTGAGCATTGACTGTGCAAGGTGCTTAACACCTGACAAAAGTGAGGCGGGGGCCACATTTCCCTTGAGCTTGGGATCTTCTTGCAATGCAACTGTGTAGTGTATTGTAGTGTAGTGGTCGTGGAGTGCTCATTGAAGGCTTCTGGATGTTTCGTGGGGTGGTTGTGCCATTTGTGACGCATTATAGGCGAAGCAAGCAATACCAACCATGAGTAGGGATTGTGGATGGAGGAAATCTTACACCACTTTTGCATGGCCTGCCTGTGCCAAAGGATTTTTGTTGAGTCGGCCCAGCAAAATGAGTCCTTTTCTGTGTTCCAAAATGGCTCTTGCCTTTGTCTGTGTTCCAAAATGACTCTTTGCGGTGTTCCAATCTGGGCCCTTTTCCCTAATGGGTATGCAAAGTTCGGAGTTTGCCGAGACTTCTAGGCTGAAGCAATGCGAAACTGCCGCCGCTTTGGGATTTCTGGGCTCGCGAAAGGCGTCGCTCCCGTGGCTCCGCGAACGTCGTCCGGAGTCGTAGTACAATCGTAGGATGTGAAGGATGGCGCTCTAGTGTCGAAGTCGACTTTGAATGCGAAGCGCTCTTCTTGGGGTAGCTCTCTGGTGTGCTGCTACAGCGGCCCTGGCGTGGTTTGCGGAATCATCTTGTGGAGGGTCTGACACTGCTTGGGGTCTTCGCTGGACAGTTTTTTCCTCTTCACCTAGAGAAGTACTGTCAGTCTCAGGCTTGTGGAGCTGTGTCAAGTACATCAACTGGAGCAAGAGGCGAAGGATGACTTGTAAGGCCATGAGCTCACACCATTGCCACACGATTGCACCGTCGCAATTGGCCGGTAAATCTCTGGATGAACAGCGCAAATTCTTGAGCCGACGGGGTAGTGTTGCTGCACAGGGGTTCGTGCACAGGGGTGCGTGCACAGGGGTGCGTGCACACTGCGCTAAAGACTCAAACCATGCCGACCATGCCAGTTGGTTTTGCATCCCCCTGCCCTGCAGGCACTGTGGCCTTTGAACATCATCGGCCCGGTGAGAAGCGTTGAAGATTCTCTTGCTAAGGACAAGTCTGTGGTTCAGAAATCCAGAAGAATGGTTGGTACAAGTGAAGTACAGTAACGGCCTTGTAATCTGACCTGGCATTTCGACACCGGCCCTTCGACAGCACGAACCTTCCCGCATAGATGATCAATTACACCATGTCGTTGTGCTGAGCGGACGGAAGACGAGTTCCGACCCTGTATGCCATGCTGTTTCACTTGCCTGTTGCGCGTGCCGCGAGGGAGGGAGACAGAGAGAGAGAGAGAGAGCGAGAGAGATAGAGCGAGATTGAGTGATATTAGGCCCTCAGAGAGTCTAGCCCCATCATATGCTCCTCACAATCAGAGACTTGGGTACCAGATGCGTGTACTCTGTCCATTTTCGTGTACAGCTTTTGCTGGTTCTGTGCAGTTTCTTTGGAGACGTGACGTTTGACCAGCGTCGCCACGGACCTCTTGAGGGCGCGGTGATGTTTGCGGAGTTTACGGGGTGGTATACAAGTTCAAACCCGCTCCCCAGCGTTAATCCTCGGATTAGAACTTCAATTATAGGGTCGGTTGCTGCAGGGGGAGCCCGGCACGCGCGACATCTTCGATGTCGATGGATGGCGGAACTCAGCGCCTATCGAGTTGGAAACATAAGAGTAGAGATTCGCAAGGCAGAAGCAATCAAATTCAGGCTTGAACGTGCAATCGGACTTGAGGACTCGTTATGCTGGCTTGTATAATCAGGCCTTAGTAAACTTAGGCTCCAAAACTTGGGGAGATGCAGGAATCATTTTGTCAAGACGCGTCCATTTGATTTTCGTTCTGATTGCAGCTGGCTAGCTCATTTCTTGTAAGTCAGAAAAAAGCATGTTCAATGTTGATGAAGAGCCGTATGCGATGAAGAACAGAAACACGAAACAAGCGGGGTACTTTAGGCAAGGCCTGTCTTCAATCTGCGATCATGCTTTACAATGGAAACTCTGCTGTCTACAGTAGTCCTTCGGATTGCAGATGAAGAAGACGAGGATGTCTGTCATCTTAGAAAAGGTCCTCGCAATCGTTGAGTGATAATAGGCAGAACTTCCTAATTCTTAAACAAAAGCAGGGGCAATCTATTTCTGTCTTGAAGTGCGCCGTTTTCCATCTTATCCTATTGCGAGCATGGCGTTCTTCTCATCAAATGAGACATGGGATCGTGTATTCCCCGAATGACTGTCAAGGGGTTAGGTTGTCTCAACTGAGAGCACCTGAGTGCAAGTGCATCATTTCTCGTCAAGAACGAAAAGCCAATCTATTTTATAGGCCCTTTTCATAGAAGTCAAGACTTACTTGTGTGGGACGTGTATAGTAGAGCATCTTAGAACGCAGTCCGGCAGGTAATGAAGCACAGCTACTGGGGCACCCGGGCTTTGCGCAGAATCTTGTGTTTATATAGTTTGTGGCTGGTCATCTGAGTTGTTTTGAGCTCACATCTGCAGCTGCCACCTCAAACATGTTTTCCACATCTTCAAGGTTCGAAGTAGGCTTCTGTACTAGGTCAGTTTGGGGCGCGTGGGGGAGGGAGGGGGGGGGGTGGGGGTGGGGGCACAGAATATCATAACAACGAGAAGTGGCCGAGTCGGATTGCAAGCCTTGCGCGCATTGCCATCAACGGGCTGCAAAAAGCGGGCCCCAAAGTCGGACAAGCTTTGAGCCCGATGGTCGCCGCAAGACGGAACAAGATGCCACCTTTTTACCTGTGTGCAATGTATTGAGCTTGGTAGGGTTGAACAAGTATCTGGGCTCTTCACATGATGAATGAGATGGGCTTGCTTGTCCAGAAGTCTAGGGGGCGAAGGCTGCTCAGCAAAGATGGGTTCATTATAACTACGGCCGTGACGTGAGTATAGTGCACTTGCAGACGAGTGGTTCATCTCTGTACATTGGCTATCCCGACCAAACAAAGTGTCATGGTGTTTGCCAAGAGGGTTGCAGCTCCGAGCTCCACTCTTTGGTTGTGCCGTCTCTCTCTCGCTCTCACTCTCTCACTCTCTGTCTCCAGAACTCTCTGCCAAACAAGTCACAAGAGAAGCTGCCGCACGGCCTTTCTGACTTTCGTATCGTGTTCAGCCAGCCCATGGACTGCATCAATCAAGGCTTGGCTCTTTCAGCTTCATGGGCCTAGTTTCCCCATACTCGATGAGTCCATGCCGAATTTGATACAGATGAGTCGAAGGACATGACGCCGGCGCCGATGTGGCACACAGTACAGTAATTGTCATTCAGGCAGCTTGAGAGACTTCACGTGATCTCGTAGGCACTGGCAATCGGGTCCCCGGGGTGAAAGGCCCAGACGACTGGAGGTTGTAGGGTGCTTGCTTCCTTTGGCCCATGAGATTTGATGGAGCCGCTGAGTGCTTTGAGATGCCACTTGGCAGCCTGCACTGAGGGTTGGTGCAGACAAGGGCTCGGGGGCCAGGTGCACGGGGTGCATGGAGTTGGTCGTTCGGGGATCCATGTTTTCACACGCAGGCCCCGGACCTAACACCCACGACAGAGACGCAACACTTCACGACGTCTGCAACCGACTCGAAGATCTGGCCGTGATTCTATGCAGGACCAATGCAGGATCGCCAGCAGAACAGTGAAGATCCAACCAACTGCCATGCGCGGCTAACACCGAAAACCTAGAATAAGACAGATGATGTTCATTGTCTCTTGTTCAAAGAGAACTGTGCATGCCAGTCATGATGGTGGTGGTGATGACCTTCTCTCTCGGCCATCGACTCATCTCGGTACTCAAATCAAGCAGTAGCACTCCTGCAAACTATTGAGGAAGTGTCGGCCGACGGCAGGAATAGTGTCCCCTCATCCTCCGGAAGTGGTGCATGTCGTTTGAATCATCAGGCTTCGTCTGCCAATGTGTCGGAGAGGACGCTGCTCATCGCCTGGCTTCCATGAATCAGACATCCTTCATGCCGCAATAAAGTTTGTCCACATGTTGAGCTGTTGAGCCATGCTTTGGCAAATTGCATGTGGGTCCAGCGCACCTGCATTCGAGGACGCATGGAAATTGAGCTCCAAGGGACTTGATGAGAAGGAGAACTGGCACTGGGAACATGGGAGCTTGGCGCATGGGAACACGGTGGTTCGCCTGACGGCGTGGACCACGATGCTGGGCCATGTTGGGCCACGCAAAGCATGTACTCCGGCTTTAGCTTGGAGTCTTTGAGCGCACAATTCGCAGGACAGCATAAAGATTATCGAGCCCTTCGAGGCACGGCCACGTTCTGCTTGGGCTCTGGGGTTGAAGACTGGTTGAAGATGGTTGAAGCGTGTTGAAGCGTCAAGTCAGGCCGTCATATGGCTTTTTGGGCATTGTGAGTTTCGTTCCGGCAAGAGAGCGAACAAAAGCATGAACACTTGCTGCTAACCACGTGCTGGGCCGACATCTTTCACAGATGGCATTGCCACAGTAGCAGTAGTTGTGCCTGCCATTGGTTGACACTTGCAGCTTGAACCTCGCTATTGTTGTCTCGTGCTTATGCTGCAGACACCCGGCGCCGAAAAGCAAGATCGCACCACATCGCACCTGAATCTCAAGCCCGGCGCAGCTCTATGAAAGGGTGGCTCGATCCGGGTTGGCACCGACGGCTGGTACCTGGCCGGCTTCAAAGGTCGTTTTCCCGAGGCGGACATTGGGTTTCGTGGTATCTGGGATGCAGGGATTTGGGTTAAATATTGGTGTTACTTGTATGTTCAGACAGTTCTCATGTCGTCGTAGGACAAGGTTCTGTAGCTTAGGCAGTCTGACCTGGATGCAAAAGGCAAGGTTGGCTTTAGACCTTGGGCCTGACACTGTACGTCTTTTGAGTCATTGTTTGCGAACGACTTCTATCCTGAACGTTGTGCTTCATGAACCTCGTCAGGTCTCAAGTGCCTGGGAGAAGCACCCACCAGCAGTGCCGTGTGAAGTGCCACGGCCGGACATGAAAGCTAGATTCCAATAGGTCTCGTTGGTGGTTGGGTGCTTCTTGTTGCTCTTTTTTACCGGACGGCTTGTTGACAGGTCAGTTTTTAACCTAGACTCCTCGACGTTTGGACTTCTGAACTGTGGGTTGCCGTGATCCAAGGTCGAGCAGCTTGCTAAGACGAGTGCGGAGCTGGGAAGGCAAGCAAACTCGCCTTGAGCCGACTTGAGCCTTGCAAGAGCTCGTGCAAGTCTGAAGCCACCCCGCACAGTAAGGAAGCAAGCACAAGACTCAAATATGATTTGCCATTCTGTGCCCTGTGTATTACCCTGAGTTCCAAGTTACGTCTTTTCAGCTTGCCTTACATATGATATTTTGGGACGGCTGTCCAATCCTGTGGGACGTGTCTTGTAATGTTCGTCTTTGCCTGAACCCACTGGTCAAAGCAGGTACCTGTACAACGACGTGAAAGCAGAGGGCCCAGAATGTCAGCCTCAGCATCTAGTGACAACCGGTAGCCAAGGCTCTCAGCGGGCTCGCACAGAAAAGACCTCAGGGCGAGATGTCCATCAGCATCGACTCCCCCACCCAAGGTATCATAACCGCAGGCCTGAACATTCCACAGAATGCAGCAACATTCTGAAAGACAAGTTCCGAGATGGAAACAGGGCTTCTGGTTTACAGTGTAGTCACATGTTTCGTGAAGATGCCCTCTTGGTCAGAATCAATTTCAGAAGGTTTCGTGAAACCTCACTTGCAAAGATCCGGCCGACTTACATGTAGCCTAGTGTACAAAGAGCACTTACGGTTTTGAACCTGAAAACTGCCTGTCAGGGTTCAGGACGTCAGGACGGCCTGCTAGGAAGAAAGGGTATCAAAACATCACTCCAACCGCATTCGATGTCGAAACCCCAAATTGACACCAACGCAAGCACCAAAGCACCCCAACATATCAAAAAGACAAGGCAAAACATGGTGCAGTTGTCTCTAAAGCCCTACAGCAATTCCGCATTGCTGGCTCTGTCACTCTGAGGTCTGTGTGCAGTGCCTGCGCCCCTGCGCCTACTCCCAGAAATTGTGTCAGGGCTGTGTCTCGGCAGCCCTATTTGGGAGGGGGTCCAGCGCAGTCTTGGGCAGTTCTCGAGTAAATCTTCAGGATTCCTGCGGTCCCAAAGATTCTGTTTCGCCGCGGAAATTGTGTGGCTCGTTCTTTGTTGCAAGCCCGTGCAGAGCGCAGCGCCTCCCTGCACAAAGATGATCCAACATCACTGTTCGGAGCCTTGGCCCCGCAAGGGGCCGTCTAGAAACCTCAATCCTCAAACCCAAGCCTGACGACTCACTCTGCCGAAGGTTTCGGAAGTTTTGTGCTCGCCAGCTGAGGCGGTTCACAACTTGAGTCGGTGCCCGTGACGCAGACGGAGAAGCCTTGCAAAATATTTGCCGCTTCAGGGGCTGGTTTGGGGTGAGTGCTAAAGCCTTCAGGTCCTTTCGTGGAACGAATATACATTCTCATCGGTCTTCCCAGCATATTTGCAGCAACTGTAGTTCAGCGTAGTCCTTCGTCTGGTAGCCCGGAAGTCGAGGATGTGCTTTTGTAGAGAGGCGGTGCTTAAATGACATGCAGAGAGGTTAGGGAGCATTGATCATTGGCTGAGCATGGACAACTGTGCTGCCAGCTGTACAGTTAGACACTGTGTGGTTTGGGGTATGTGACAGCACAACGCTACGCACTTCTTTACTTTGGATGGAATCAGGCATGACGCTGCGGAATGGCAGGAAGGGAGCCCGCCGGTGAGCGGCGAAAGGATATCAGCAAGCACATGACCTAGCCCACTTTAGACTAGAAACGATGAACCATGGAATGTCTGAGCTGCAAACCAATCTCCACGCTAAGGAATGTCCTGATGGGTTTTGTTTTCGGCGTTGAGCGCACCACGAAGCCAGCGCCTTATGCGGACGACCATTTAGCGCTCGGTCTCTGCATGTCGGGCAAGTTACCAAGACCGCCAGGATCATTGCAGCCTTATACCGCATGCCTAATGCTGTGCCTGCGGTCTGAAACACAGACGCATCAGTAGTAAAGGCCTTTCGACATGGCAGGGGCTAGGGCAGATATAGGGCAGAAATGCAGCAATGCTTAGAATGCGCTCCGAATGCTAACAACAATGTACATATATATATATATACACATGTAAATTGTATTTATTTACTTGCTGTTGTTTGTAATCACACGCAGTATACATACATTTGGTATACACAGACAATCAGGCTACAGGTGCTTCAGTCAATGAAGCAAGGATCACGTAGCTAACGCTGACACATCAATCGGCCAGATCCGAACGACCCAGGACAAGCCAGCCCCCAAGATCGCAGCAGGTTCCCACTGACAATCTCGCTGCGCCGACAGACACCTGATGTCATTGTCTATGACGACTTGCTCCATGTCTGAAACCGCATTCTGCGGCGTTTGATTTCAGAGAAGGTTGTGTTGGGTTTCGAAGGTGGCACACCATGGTCCACGCAATTCTACAAACAGAAGTTTTGTTTCCCGAAAACTGCAGTTACGATACTGAACGCAAGTTCCGGAAAGCGCTGTATGCAACTGTTCTTAAGTCTTGTCCTTGCCAGAAAGCAATCAGCGAAGTCTTCTTGTTGCTTAAGGCTTGCAATGTCGTCTTGCCATTTGAACGCTCTGCCCACGAGCCACTATGTGCGGGACCGTCCAGCAGTTCCATATTCTGGATTTGAGGGATCAGGTTCTAGAAGCGTTGGGGGTGCAGCCCCTCCAAGAGCAGGGTGTTTGCTTCGTGAGTGATGCTTAGTCGTGCGCATTGTGCTTGGAGGAGCTCCTCCAAGCGATGGGGGGGGGGGGTCCCACAGGGCGGGGGGGGGGGGGACGGGTGCGTCAGAAAGTCGGCAGTTCGGCATGGGGGGGTTAGGTTAGGGGGAAGGAGGCCAGGTCCGTGTCTGCTCGTTCCAAATGCGTCTCGGCAGGAAGCCGAGGAGGCTCTTTCTGGCGTTTCTTTTCTTAACCTGCGCATGGCATCTGTATGTGCGGTGCAGAGTGATTCGGGAGGACTGGCGCTGGCTCCTCCGAGATCCGAAGCCGGCGCTACAATTGGTTGCAAACCTCATGAAGGAGGCCTGTGTCAGCAATTGGCAAGAAAACCAACAAATCTTGGAGTTTCGACCGGAGATCTATCGGTGCTGCTACTAGAGCTGGAACAGAAACAGCAATGTATTAAGAACGACAGCAGCAAAGCCAAACACCAAACACCAGCAACCGCACTACTCTAGCAATCGCTCGGAGCAAGAGTAAGAGCAAGAGCAGCAACGGCACAACAACCGCCCACCACCAGAGCGACGAAACCGGGAGCAGCAGCAACTGCAACAGTAGCAACAACAGCAAAACAAAAAGGACAACGACGACGACAACAACGATAACAGCAAGACAAAGACCATGACCACGACAACGATAACAACAACGACCACGACCACGACAACGATCACGACAACGACCACAGCAACCACATCAACCACAACAACACCATATTTAGCAATACCAGCAGAACACACACACACACACACACAAACACAAACACAAACACAAACACAAACACAAACACAAACACAAACACAAACACAAACACAAACACAAACACACACACAAACACACACACAAACAAACACACACACAAACAAACACACACACAAACAAACACACACACAAACAAACACACACACAAACAAACACACACACACACACACACACAAACAAACACACACACACAAACAAACACACACACAATCAAACAAACACACAAACAAACACACACACACACACACACACACACACACACACCCGCGCGCACACACACACACACACACCAAGCCCGCCGTCCTGCTCGGGAACGGATGCTGGGGTTATGTTTCTTGGGCTGGTATGGATGCTTTCGGGCGTGGGCGGAGGTTTGACGTTCAGCATGATCTCATGCCGGCGCTTTGGTTGTGGTTTGAGGTCGCCATTGACTCTGCCTGCCAGGCGTGGGAAGCCACGAAGTCCTTTCTGCACAATGCACCTGAGCTTGACAAAGGGCCAACTTCGCTCGCCCTTATAGCACCCACGCCGAAGTCCTTTGCTCCTTCGAAGGATCCCCCCAACTTTGCAGCCGTCCAGGGTCAGGATGTGAGATGGTCTTTCTGTCGATCTCAGGCAGAATGGCGCAATTTCAACTACCGAGACGGTGTGTCTGAGGACTGGCCGTTTGCCATTTGAGCCTTGAACCCATTTCGCACCTCAATGCCCCAGCTCTCTGCACAGTGATGCTGGTTGGCATTGTTGATATCGACCTTGCTAGCTAGCAATGCTATGTTGGCATTGACCCGACATCGTGGATGCGAGTTTTGGTGTCTGTTTTTGAGGGGAAAGAAGCTTGTGCTTGCTACTACGTCTGTTCAATGACTTAGGTTGTACACAATGCCGTGCGCTACACGTCTGATGAGAACTTCTTGTTGTTGTTCAGTTGTTCTAAATGCCCGTCTCCGTCTCATCCCATGAATCCCGTGTGAGTCCAAATCATTATTTGTTTAATAAGTCGTTCGATGAGCATCGCCCTTGCCCTCATCCAAAAAATGGCTTTAAGCTCCGGTTGTTGCTGCACTTCATCTGAACGTGGCGCGTCGCCGGCCCGTCCCTGGGAGAGGATTTCGATGCGAGGAATCAGGGAGTTTTCTGGGTGTCCTGACACTACACCTCACAGCCGAGGCCGAAGCGGATTTTCCTTCCACTCCTGCAATTCGGACGCGGGGGCCCCCTCCCCTTTGTTGGTCGTTGTTTGGGGTTTCGGGGCGGCTTCGACAGACTTCAAAGCAGCTCTGGCTTCAGGACCTGATCCGTCAAGATCTCAGCTGCAGCTCCCGCTTCCACGCGTGTTGAACAGGACCTTTTTCAGTATGGAAAAATTGAAAAAGGCAGCTGGAGCAGCTTAAGGAGCTTTGTCTTTAGGTCAGTTTAGCACGGCTTGATGGACGGGGCGCTTTGACAGAGGACTGTGGTAATGGTATTCTCATGGAATGCAGGTACTCGATTTGCCGACCGTTGTCGCAAGGTTAACACATGTATCAGTTCACATTGCTTCAGTCTCTGAGAGGCATCAGAATGGCGGGGGGACTTGTTGCTGGGGACCTCCAAAGGTAACATGGGCAGTTTCCCTTCACTCCATGGTTTCACACCCCAGACTCCAGTCGCAAGTCGCCGTCAGAGGTACATCCCCCCAACAAAAACGGAGCAGGAATCATTCCCAAGCCCTCTTCAGATCCTTGAGGTGAGAACATCATCTGTGGCTTTAACAGCCCACCGTCGCAAAACCAACTTCATCTTCAATGGAGCCTCGGATTGTGGGAGGGGGGGGGGGTGTATCGCAAATACACATTCAAGGCTCGGAGGGTTCGCAGCTTTGTCTCGATGGGATGTCACTTGTAGCTGTAGCTACCGTGAGTTGCAGAACTGTGCGCATGAATGTCCCGCTTTGAACATGTACTTGGATATGCACGAGAACAGACTTGTGCGTCAGCAGATAGTCTTTCCCCTGGGTCCGGAGTTGTGGAAGGTCGAAGTCCCTTAATGCGGAGGGCTGCCAGTCAAGCTTGCAAAGGTCTAGTCAATGAGGGTTTAGCGTACTGTGGAAGTTTGGGGGTGCGTAGGCCGAGCATGGGAAACGGTGGCAATCAGCGGCAGGGAACAGCGTACATACTGGTGCATGGGCCTGTAGATGGATTGAAGGGTTTCTGCTGGGCACAGTAAGCGATTCCAGGTTTTGCCGGATTTGAACTTTGACAGGCACCAGCTCTTGAGCTCATCCTGGAAGTGGATACGTCTTATAGGTTTGAGTTTAGCTTCAGGGCTTTGCGGAGTTCAGCTTCTACATGAGGCCCGATCCACTGTCAGCTACCATTCATTGCGCGTGGGAACCAAAAAACTTGTATGCGGCCATGTGACGTACTCCTTCTCCCCCGAAAGCTCAACCCTTGATCTCGCGGATTCCAGTGGATGCGCTACACTGGCCAAGGATTGTTCTGCCTCTGCTGCGACCTGGCTTTGAGCTGGGGGTTTGGCAGGGTTTATTACCGCGGTTGGTAGGCTATCCCTCAGCTGAAGTTTGCACCACAAGATTCGAAGAATGCCCCAGAGAAGCCATTGTCTTCCAAGAGCCTTGAAACTGCACATCAATGAACATGCTAAATGTCCCATGCCATAAATCCTTTATTTTCACTACGTAGTTTCACTTAGTTTCGCCAGAGGTATTCCCCTTTCTTATCCAGAAAGGGCCAATAGCACGCGCGCGCGCGCGCGCGAGCAGTAATCGTATGATCAGTACCAACACTGAAAGACCCGAATGAACGTGTGCGTCACAGGAGAGATTGTTCTGGGCAGTCGGCTGCTTAGCCCAACACCTTCTCTGTTAATCTTCATTCCTATTGGCAGAATGAACTTTCACGGACACAGATACGGCTACATTTTAGAGACGCTTGGGTTGTCCCACATTGCCCCCCCCCCCCCCCCCCCCCAAGCCGCCTGAAAGCGCTTCTCGAAAGCAGGCCTTTTCACCATCAGAAGCTGCTCGACCGGACCCATGCGCAAAAGGGGAGGCACGAAAGACATATGACTACGCCCCGTGACAGTGCAAAATACTGCATGTTCGAGGATCACGTCCCCACGCCAACAGCGCATTCAATTTTAGGTGCCGTGCCGCAAGTTGAATCAAGCCACCGCAGCTTCTCGAATCTCTGCCGATTTAACGATGCTAAAGTAGAATGCCGTCGCACATCACCGAAGAACGAGCTCGTGTAGCCCCCCACCAGCAGCCATCGGCAGGTGGTTCCCGCTGGAATATGTACTTCCCGTGCTGCAGCACCTGGATGAGGCCACAGAGCCTGAAGACATCGGGAGATGGGCGACGGGAATTGTTTGACATCGGAATCTCCCTTGGGTTGCGCCAGATGTGCTCTTTTTTGGGGTCACTCTTATAGACAAGCAGCATTCCGAATGAGATGGCTCCTTTGAAAAAGGCAAAGGTATGGTAGAAGTACGAAAGGTCATCCAGGAAGGGCCGCACATACGTACCTCGAGCTGTGCGTTGCGCGGTCAGGCCACTTCATGGTATGATGAACGACAATTCGGGGTTGAACCGATGCGAGAGCAACAGCCACGTTTTGTTGGGGCCTCTACCACTAGAATTACCGTTGCAGTCGTTGCAGGCCGGCGAAACCTTTGCTGTGAATGCCGAGACATCTACGGAAGAGATCATCACCCACTTCAGCCGACACTGTGATGCACGTATACGCATGTAGTAAAGCATGCCGTCTGCTTAAGGCACAGTCGCCACAGGCACGGGTAGTGCACCTGAATCGGAGATTGCGCGCCTTCTTTACAAGTGTGCGGTGGATCTGAGGCAAGGGGATCGTGTACGAGGACATTTGGGAAAAATGCTATGCGAAGTACTGTGACAGCGCAGCTCTGGCGAACTGGAAGCCGAAGGCCCGCCAAGAGACTGCACTGCCCAAGAGATCCCAAGAAGCAACGACCGCATGGGAGCCGATGAGTGCTGTAATGTCAGCGAGAAGCACCAAGTCCCCTATATCCACAACATGCGGATCTGTAGGCATCAGTCCCCCCAAAAAAATCCAGGGCCGCCTGTAGAGCATCGAGCTTGGGTTTAGCTCATGCCGTTTGCTTGATTCCCTGAAACACAGAAAATTCTACGGCTGTGCACGGCAAATATGGCAATAGGCAGACGCAGATATTTCACAGGTGATATAGTTGAAGTGATGTGCATGACGTCTGCAGGTTTCGCATGCTGCCGTAGTTGCCAAGCTTGGTAGAGTAGCAAGGGAAGGTTTGGCCACGCAAAGGAACTTGGACAGCCAAGCCATGCTTGTGGAGGCTAGTGCCATAGCAAACGACATCCAACGGTCGCAAGATTATGGTTGTTAAGGCTGTCGCGACTTGAGTTTGGCGTTAGCGATGTTGGGTTTTGCCTACGGCGTCAGGCCCCCACCCCCCGCCCCCCCCACGAGCAGCGACCATGACATCCAAGATCATCCCATGCCAGGATTTCAGCTATGTCGTCAAGAAGTCAGACGTGCACTCGATTGCAAGTGTCACCTGGCAAAGCACTTGCAGACTTACGGAGTGATAACAATGAAGAATCAGAAGCCTCTAACATTCTTTCCCTTTCCCTCGGCTTTGTGATCCCGTCCACATGCCTTCGACAGTCTTGAATCGAAGAGGGCTCGCCCTTCATCATCGTATTGATCTGACTGAGCTTTCCAGAGACTTTCTTACTCCAATTCGTCGCTTCTAAACACTCGAGCTAAAGAATCAGGGAAATTTCTTTCAGCGAGAGTGATTTGCATTTCATGGCACATGCCCCGTCAACTGCGCATCGATCCTAGTGTGGCTCCTCTGCCCTATATTGCCTGCAAACTTGGAACCGAAAAGCAAAGGGCCAAAGGGCTGTTTGGGACCTCCTTGCATGCCATGTCACGCGTTTGGCACGGTCGGAAACTGAGGTGCACGCAGACCTTGTGGAGCTGGGCAAGAAAGTTGAGATCAGTCCAGCAACTGTGCAGGCAGAGGACGTGATGCGAACTGGGTTGAGACAGGGCCAGCCACAGTAGAGGTTGGGCTTCAAGTAGGCTTTGCAAAAGCTGGCCGCTCCTTGAGAATTGCATTGGATGACCTTCATGCCACCGAGATGCAACAGAAAGTGTATTGCAGAGAAGACCAGTGTAGCGTCGGCAAAGCCAAAAGCTAGAATTCCCTTGGACTGCGAGGAAGAAGTCCGAAAGGGCTTGACGTTAGTTGTAGAATGGTTCCTTGAAACACCAATCCGAACCCAGCCACGCACACAACACCTTGCTACCATTCCTGTCGAGATCTGAGCAAAGTGGACGAAGGACAAGATGAAGCTTCAGAACTATGGACGCAAGTACACTGAAAATGGCCAGCCAGGCCCGATTTGGCAGAGCAGTCTGTCGCCTGAGCTCTGCCATAGGGGCACTATGTTTGGGTATTCAGGAAAAGAATTGGTAACTGTTGCGAAGTCCGCGATGGGGTCGTGTGGGGTTGGCGAAAGGAGAACTTTGAGTTCGTTTTTTTGTTACCGGGACATCTATATATGTGTATACATATGCATGCTGCATATGTGTACTACGTATGTAAACAAGAAATGTATACGCTGATAGCAAGTCAAACCTACCTATAAAGACAGGCTGCGGCTTGCGCCTGTAGCCCTGCATGGTGAAGGTGGCACCTACTACAAGCACCACAAGGCAGCATGATCCACGGTGCTACGTGGCAGTTCCAACTTCAACTCCTGGTTTCCTCTTCTCATTCTGTCTCACAGAGGTGCTTCGGTAGAGTCCGTCAACCCTAATACCTGAAGGTCTCGTTGAGGCTTCTTTAGGTGTGCACTGTTCCACAACCATGTCGAGCCCACGGCTCATGGAAGGAGCCCAAGCTGGGTCCTGGCGGAATTCAAGTCTGGCCAGGGCTTTGAGCCCGACGCTTTGCTGAGAGTGGGGGGCTTATGGTTGTTCACCTTCGTTTAAAGAGTGTTGTCATCCACTTTCCAATGGTTCAAGTTTTTTGAGAGCTGACTTGACACCTTGCAGGAGATACGCAGACAAAGCTCAGTGAGCGAGTTGGACCTTACCAATGCCCGCTTGCAGCATGTAAAGAGCAGGTGGGCAGCATAGATTCCGATGATTCCATACGAACTGCCTTGTTGCCAAATAGGTTGATCCAGCTTCAGCCGTGGTCTATGCAAAGGTCGTGCTGAAAAACAGCGCAGCAGGTCATGGTTTATAGGTGGCTTGGGGCTCACGCCTTGAAAGTGATGTGAATGAACTCATGAGGTGTACGCGGCTTCGTGCCTAAAGCGACTTACGGGAAATGGCGACAGGGCAGTACAGCATGGTCAGACAGACGACAGCCAGCACCTTCCGCTCACAAAACTCCGAGCTTGTAGCTACCGATGTGCAGGACAGGGACCAGAATGACCGAGGCAAGCCAAACAGATAAGTATTCGTTCTTACAGCTACTAGCAACCTTTGAAGCTTCCCGTCGGCCTGGACATCGGCTGAGCTTTGTTCACACTCCCTTCAACGGAGCTTTGGGGCAGCTCGCGCCGGCTGTAACCCGGGATAAGTCGGACCTGAGACTGGGACAGAGCCCTGCACTCCGCCGTTATCTGTCAAAAGGGGTGAAATAGGGTCCACAGGATAGTGGTATAGTGCTTTCAGGCAAGTTTCAAGTCTTAGGCTAACAGGGCTTAGGGATTGCAAGTCTTCTCTCTCCGTCTTGGGCCCCCTTATAAAGATCCAGCTGGATCACTGCAATTGGAAGAGAACTGCTCGGGTGGATGTACTCCATCACGCAGTCTGCAATTCTGCAAGGTTGGGATTCACTTTCAGAAACAGCCTGGTGGAAAGCAGAACGGATTTGAGGAAGCGGATCTATTCGTCGTCTCCAGCTTGCCCAGCTTGTACAGTCGCCCTGATTTAGAGAAGCATGTTAAGGCTCAGAGAGTGAACTCCCAAGAACGTCGGCAGCTCCGGTCGCCTCACTCGCCGGCGGGTGGCTGCTTTCTGACTTTGGATGCGAAACAACGACAGAATGCAACAAATGGGTATTCGAAAAACGAAGTACGGGCAATGCATGCAGAGTACATGGAAATGCTGCATATGGTCATCCCAGTTGTTGCGGATCCATGGGGCTGGACAGGTATGTTCAGGTATCCAAAGCACCAGAGAGCACCACATGGTGTGATGGGTGCAGCCAGAGCAACTCTCGTTTGGCAACTTCGGCCATGTGCTGAGGTGCCACGCGTGTGTTATCCCTGCGGGATCCCGAGCAGACTTGCTCCTAGCGGGTGCTTAGGTCCGGGGAGAGTCTGGAAATCGTGCCAGTTCGCTTAGCAGAGGAGGCACGAATCACTGCCATGAGCTTTGCAAAAAGTGTGAGCCCTCTGCCTGTAGATAGTTTCCGAGGTCTGTGTGTTCTGTTTGCGCATGTCTGGCTGCAGCTTGCACAATCGCACTGCAGTCAGAATCTTGAGGAACTGGTGGAATTTGTAAAGCCCACCATGGTGTACAGAACGCTAAACTGACCCAGAACTCAGCACCAAACCGCACGCAACAAGTCAACCAATGCAGTGGCTAGTCTCTTCATTCGTCCCAAAAATTCACCCTTGAGTGCGGCGGTCTGTGGTGGGCCGGGTTTGGAGATCCTGCCCCGCTCATGTGGTGGCATGATCATGCTGCGTGGCTGCTGGCACCTCGCGGCACCTCATCTGTACGAGCCTGCATCCAGAGAATCGCAACCCAAACGCTTTCTCATTGCTCTCGCATGATGGCCGTTGTCCGGATAGCTACATCGTAATTACTAGGGACACCGTGGCATGGCAGGTCCTGCTAAAGAAGCTAGCCTTGGAGCGATTATGTGCTAGGCTAGGTGTCAGCATGTACCATTGGGGGTCAGCTTGGACCCCGCCGTTGAAGAACTCAATTTGCAGCTGCAGCGAGCCGCACTGGTGCAAGATTTCCACTGCCTTCTCGGTGGCATGCCATGCCGGTATAGCGCATCCCATGGTGCCTAGGCCCTGGGTCAGATGGTTGGCGTCTGTGGGGATAAAGCACTCCTCCTTCGTGGTCACTACTTCGGCCGTAACTAGCAAATGTAAAGTTCTACATTGATTCGCTTCGTGGGTTGCTCGCTGTTTCTCCATTTAAGTTACCAGAAGCTTGTGGCGGCCATAGGCAAGCAGGCCCAAGTTCTCGGAGATGTGCGCCTTGCTTGCATCGGCCGAATCCCTGATGTCACCCCCACTGGGGTGCAGAAGCATGTTACTCGCGATCTCAAGATTGGCAGGGAAATGCAGGGAGGCATCCGGCAGCAAGACCAGTGTGCTGGGAGAGTGTAAAGAAATCTCACCATTCGCTGCTTTCGGTTTTCCCAGCTTCTGGAGCAAGATGGACCAAAATACGATGCCAACCAACTAATAAAACAACATCGGCATCGACTTCGAAGGTTGTGCAACGATGTCTATACGGGGGCATACACGGGTGAGGGAAAGCCCAAACCATGCGATTTTCAATAGTTGCGCTCTTTCTTGAATTTCCGGGTGGCAGTAAGGTTGTTTGAGCGGGCGCAGAAAATCCCAAGCTAGTGGCTGCAGTTAGCTCCAGAAGAACCCATCAGCTGCATGGAGTGCGACTCCGGGAGGGATCAAGGATTTGTATTTCAGGGACTGCAAGCTCAAAGCGGGTTCTGCCTGATAGCAGGCGTATGCAGGCGTGCATCTGGCAATCGGAGAAAAGATCAGCAGATCTGCCACACTGAGTCCCCACGGCAATCAGCTGGCCTAGTATTTGTTCTTGGTGGCCCAGATTCAGTTCAGTGCAGTCATTTTCAGCAATGCACGTGCAGCTGGTGATGCACCCGGAGTGCCTCTCCATTTTCCGAGTTCGGACGATTATTTAGACAGAGTTTTGACTGTGCATTCGCAGGTTCACCCGCCTCATATGAGACACACACACACACACCTAAGCCTAGACCACATCAGAGTGTCATAGTGCAGTGAAAGCTATTAACTCATAGACCAAGCATGTTCAACCTTGTGAAATCAGTAGTCCAAATCAGCAGTCGCATCGCAAAAGCTAGAGTGCACCGCCTCGGCCTGGCCCAGTGCAGACGGTCACAAGTGGCGTCTTGCCCGGGGGCGCTCCCTGAGTGTCCTTCGTCATTGTCTATCATTCTCCTTCTTCAGTGCAGATGGTCATAGGGTCTTCTGACAGTCCACCATATCGGGTCCAGAGGAGGTGAGGTCTGTAGGTGGGAGATGGTGGAGGCTTTTCCATCATTTTCAAACATTTTCCATCCTTTGCCATACCGGGCCTGAGAGGAGCAGACACAGACGGTCTTCCCATGGGGTCCAGGGAGTTGTCTCGCCCAATGAGCCCGCATGTTTTCTCCTTTTGACCGTGCCTTCGGGTCTGGGGACTCGGCGGAATTGCTGCTAAGCTCGCCGTTAAGCTGCGCTGTTAAGCTTTGCTGTTAAGCCTTACCGCTCTCTCTTTGAAGAATTGCCTACAGGAGTCAGCAAATGCCCCAGTCCTTGGCTGCCATCTGTTGCTGCTCTTCATGAAACTCCTTGCAGGACAGCCAGCCTGAAGCAAGCTGGCTCCAAAGGCATTCAAGGGCCGTCCGTCCGTCCTTCAAATCCCAGCAGCATGGTGAAGCGAACGTCCAGCGACTTGAAGGCGGGAATCGTGTGCACAGCCATAAATGCAGCTGGATACGCTCCACACACTTTCGGCTCTATGCACAAGAATCCAGGGACCCACTAACACTAACTATTCTGTACACATCTTTCCATATTGCAAGTGCCACGCCCAGTTCCCGCCCGAGGATTTCAAGAACATGCTCACTTTAGGTGATATGTAGCTGTCCAAGTTCTGCTCGGGAAACACCATGCCTTCTTGCACAGCTCATCTCATTGATTAAGCCATACGCCGGCAACCCTCAACACAAGAACAATACGTTAGGGCGGCACCGCCTTAGTGGCTTCGTCTCGTGCGCAAAGGTGCGTTGGGGGCCTTAAAATCGATGTCTTATCAGCATCTCTTTAAGCAGCACTCAAGTGTCTCTATCTTGGGGAGCTGCTTTGAAGATTCCCTATGGGGATGTAGTAGGGGCCAGAGAGCCATGACGCGAGAGTTCAGCCCCACTTGAGCTACGACTCTTGGGTTGCTACCGCTGCCCGAATCGTTGCCACCACCGATGCCATGAGAACTCTCCCACATCCTGCGTGACCTGCGCCAGGCTCCTGCCAATCCCGAGAAGCCGTTCGAACACCTGGGATCCAAGGAGCCCCACGGTTTCTGCAGCGATTCCTGCAAGTTTGCATCGCAGGTGCAGTTGCGCTCGTCGCACTTGAATTGCCGAATTCTCACTAAGGCATCGTCTGTGATGGTCATGCAGTCTGTGAGGTTTGGATAGTTCGGCACATAGTTGCAGATAGTGCAGTTGTGGCTGCACTATGCTGGGCTTTCGGGCATTCATGGATAGCGGTTTGCTACCTGCGTGCTTTCGAAGGACAGCCTGCCGGAGGAGGAGGAGGAAGAGGACCATTCTGCGAAACGGCCATGGCCACAGCATTTCGCAGTACAGTTCAGTTGGTGTGGCAACAGCACGTCAAGCAAGCACAATGGCCTGCTTTTCCGTGCAAGGGGGGGGGGGGGGGGTGGGGGAAACGCCCACAACATGTAGAACTCTCGCACAATGGCACAATCTAAAAAGTTTACTGGCATCCTGCAAAGTGTTGGTGGAACTGTGACACTTGTAAGTCCGGCTGTCGGACCCGCGTTCCGTTTCCCACAGAGTCCGTGTGGACGCTTGCAGGGAGCAGACAGACCAGGGAACAGACTTGCCAACAGCCTACTGGACGCCCGCAATAAAGCAAAGTCGGCTTAAGGTGCGCATTTGAGAAGTCCCCCG